GGGGCTGGGGATCTAGCTCAGCAGCACAGCGCCTGCCTGGCAAGCATGAGGTCATGAGTTCAATGCCTGGTACCGGAAAAAAAACAGAAAAAAAGAAAAATTTACCTACTCCACCAGCAGAGCTCGGTGGGTTCCCACTGGGATGCACACCCATCACTGGCTCTGACAGAGTGCAGAGTACATCAGACTCAGCAGCTCTCTTTTATAACTTTTCTTTACTGCCGAAGCCCACACTGGCCCCTGGCAGCCATGGGTCTGCTTTTTATGACTAGTTTTGCATCTTTCAGAGCCATCCTAATAGAATGCTGTGTGAGTGGCCTCACCCAGTGTGTGGTTTCTGAATGTTTGATTTATTTTTTGGTCTTTTTTGTTTTGTGTTTTTTATTTGATTTTTGCTGTTTTCAGATGGGTTTTATTTTTTGTTTTTGGTGCTGAGGACCGAACCCAGGGCTTCCAGCTTGCTAGGCAAGCGTCCTACCACTGAGCTAAATCCCCAACCCCCTGAGTGTCTTGATTTCTTAGCAATTTTTTTTTTTTTTGTACTGGGAATCAAACTCAGGACGTTGTACTTGCCAGGCAGGCACCTGTACCACTGAGCTATATTCCCAGCCCTGAGTGTCTGATTTCTTTCATTGAGCATAACCCTTTTGATATGCTGTGAGTCTAGATCCTGTTCCTCCTTTGCATTGTGTAGACGGTGCATCGTGCACCTGTTAGCTCATCCGCCCATCTCTGTGTGGTTTCCACCTTGGCCCAGCCAGGGTCTCACACCTGTGTTACGGTTTGTGTCTGCGTGTCTGCTCAGAGCCTCCCGCAGTCATGGGGGCAGCTTCTAGAGTTTATAATCCATCTGTGGTCTAATGCTGGGATCATGGGTGTGAGTGCTACACCACCCTGGGTCGGGGATAGTTTTGCATACATAAGGGAGAGAAAGAGGATGCTTGCTGCCACTCCTGCCTTTTGCTCTTGCTGCTTTTGCTGTCTTCTGCCACCTTAAATGGTTGCCCTCTGCCATGTACCACTCTGCCTTGGAGCCAGCGGAATATGGACTGAAACCTTCACAAACTGTGAGCTAAATAAACCTTTCCTTCCTTAATTCTGGGTGTTGGGTATTTTGTCCCAGCAATGAGAGAAAAGTAACCAAGACAACCCGTAACCCAGCACATGGGAGGCTACAGCAGGAGGATCTCAAATTCAAGGTCAACTTGGGCTACATAGTGAGTTCAAGGCTGGTGGACCATAGAGCAAGACTCTATCTCAAAAAACAAAAAAAAGCCGGTGGCGTGGTGGTGCATACTTGTGCCTGTAATCAATCCCAGCACATGTGAGGCTGAGGCTGGAGGATTTTTGAGAGCTTGAGGTCAGTCTGGGATACAAAGTGAACTCAAGGTCAGCGTGAACTGCAGAGTGAAAAAAACAAGGAGTCTCATCAAAGTACATCTCACACTGAGTCCCTCCAAAATATGTGAAGCTGGGGCTGGTGGTAGGAGGTGATTAAAATGTTACGTGCATGTACAGCTCTCCCGAAGGGAAATCCTCGAGTCTGTGTAACCAACATGCAGTAATAAAAAATGTGGGGGAACAAACCCCCCAAAACAACAAAACCAGACAACTGGTAAACAGCACTGCGGATGCGGAGTGGCCTTGCCCCCTGCATCCCCGCTTTGTGGGGGTGGCAAGGGCAAGGGGCGAGCCCCCGCATCGTCACTGACGGTGTCCCTGTCTTCCCCGCCCGCAGTGCGTACTGCTGGTGGGTACTCTGTGTACTAACTTGCCGTTCCAGCGTCTCCTCCCCCTTCTGTGGTGCAGCTGGAACCCAGGGCCTCCGCGCGCCCTGCCAGCGCTGCAGCACTGAGCCGTGGGCCCAGCCCAGCAGTGCCTTTTTAAGAGAAACACCTGTGTAAGCGTTTGCGCGCTGCACTATTTCTCTTGGTGAGTTATTGGCGTTCCTTTACAAAGACTTGGGCCCGCAGCAGCATGTATTTTGGAGTTCGTCGTCAGTGCACAACTGAACTTTAAGGCTCCCAAGTTCTCAGCCGAGGTGCAAGCGCTCTTTCGCGTGTGGGAGCGACGAAAGAGCAGATGCGATAGGAATAGGAAGTGTGTTTGTGCGCGGCGGCTTTGCTGAGATAGATGACCCACTTCTCCAGACCTGTGCGGGGCGCGCGGGGCTGTGCCCGCTGTGCGCATGCGCGGGGCATGTGCGCGCTCCACGGGTCAGATAGCTGTGGCCGGGACTCAGCAGCTGCGACGTTTCCGGCTGCGCTTCCAGTGTGTCTTTAATCACCTGTATGTGTTTCCCTGCTGTGGCCTGGCCCCTGTTCACTGGGGGATGACCAGCTGCCACGTAAACTAGCAGGGACATCGAGAGCCCCTTAAAAAGCCAGCGACGTCAATATCAGCTGGTGGGCACAGATTCGGGGAGCACTGTGGTTGTAAAAGACGGAGCGCGGCTTATGTACGCTGCGCCTGGTTACCGTGCAGTGGCATGTCCGCCTGTTCACCTGCGTGTGCTTGTGCTCCGCTGGCCACAAGAACACCTGAGAAAAATTGGAAATGGTGCCAGTCATGGTTGGATTATCACGATGTGTTTACTGTCATCACTCAGACCGTGAGAGGCCACATTTCACTTAGAATTCACATTTAATACTTTATTTCGTACAAGGGATTAAACCCAAGGCCTTCAGATGGAGGCCCATCCCCAGCCCTTATTCTTTTTTTTGTGTGTGTGTGTTTTTGAGACAGGGTCTCCCTGTGCAGTTCAGGCTGACCTTGAGCTCACTTTGTAGTCCAGGCTGGTCTTGAACTGGCAAAGATCCTCCCGCCTCAGCCTCCCGAGTGCTGGGATTACAGATGTGCACAGAGTATTTCTTCG